ACAACACCTTTTTATCTCACGGAGTTGCAGTGAGCGGTACAGGAGGGACCATTTGCGCAAGGGTGGGGCGCGGAGCCGCACACAATGGGCGCTCAATAAGTGCCGGTTTTCTCCCTTCCCCCGCCCTCTCCTACCCAGCTCCAGCCCCAGCTAGTGGCCGGTACACGCCCGCGGCTGGCCCCGGCGCTGCCCCGTTGGGGTCGAAGGCCGCCCTTGCCCGGCATCCGGGGCTCTCTCACCTGCAGCTCTCGGCTCTCGCCGGCCGCTGGGCCAGGGGGGGAGCCCTGTGCTCCCTTCTTCGGGGCAAGCGCTGAGCCCCTCGCCTGAGGCGGCAGAAAAGGTGGCAGCTTCGGCTCGCAGCACCAGCTCGGTCCGGCTCAGTCCGACTGCCCAGCCCGCCTGGGACTCCTCACGGGGCGCTGGACCCGGGCCGGGGCTTCCTGGGCGTTCGCACGGTCCCAAGTCGGAAACACCCGGCGAAGGCAGCTAAGGGTTCAGGTCTCGGGAGCCCGAGGCTGGGGGCTTCTGGGCTCCTTTGCACTCAGTCGGGGGCCTGTTGGGCACCTGCCTTAAGCCGGGTCTCAGGCGGAGGGCTCCGACACACACTATAGAAAGGCTGGGAACAAGCCCGCAACCATGGACCCGTATGGTGGGCCAGGAGCGTCCCGCCCGGGTGCACTGGATCGGGTCGGGGGCTCAGGGCGTCCCCGCCACAACGCCCGGGATCGCGGTGCTGGGAGCGTCCCGGCGCAGAACCCCTGGCTGGGACAGGCGGGGCAGGGCAAGGCGCTGGCGAGGACGCTCGCAGCCGCGGCGGCCGGAGCCCGGCGGGGAAGTCTTCCCAGGTCTGGACTCTGCTCGCTCTGCAAAATGGGGCGGACTTCGGCGCGGCGGCTGACTCCGGAGCTCCGGGCCGCGGCTCCACTTCCTCCTCTTCCCCCTCGGCTCGCCCGCGGCTCGCTCAGCCCCGCGCGGCAGCCGCTGCCACCCCCGCTGCTGTCATCCCCGCTGCCCACCCCCACCGGAGCTGCAGCCCGAGCCGGAGCCGAGCCCAGCCGAGGCAGCGCCGCCCAGCGCCCGAGCGCCCGCCGGCGCGGCCCCGTCCGAAAGGGGCGGGGTCAGCCGACGCCCCGCCCCCGCCCGGGCCACGGGCAGGGGGCGGGTACGCCCCAGATCCCCTCCTTCGACCCCGCGAGTCGGGCAGCAGGAGCCAATGGGAGAGCGGGAAAAGAGCGGCGCTCTGCGGAACGTGTACTCTAGCCCGGGGAGGGCGGGGCAGACAGGGAAGAGGTTGCGGCTGGGGAGAGGACAATGGAGGGGTGGGGGTTTGTAAAGAGTGGAACAGGGTACAGGGTCACCTGGGGACCCAGATGATGGGAGAGGCTATGACGGCTGGTTTGTGTGGGATGGAGGCGTGGGAGCTGCCGTGTGTTGGGGAGTGGGGAGTCCGGAGGTAAGAACAGGGGTTGGGGTCGGAAAAGAAGCAGGATGGAGGTGAGGTGGGGTTATTCGTGGGTAGTGGAGTCTCCAAGGGATAGGGGAGCTCTCGGGGGTGGTGGGACAGCGCCCTCGCAGTACTCTCCCCGCCCCCCCAGCTTCTAGGGCTCAGCGCGCGGAGGTGAACGTTGGAAGCTGTGAAATACTCAGATTTCAGGAAGCGGTGAAAAACAAGTTTTTGAAAATAAAGAGCGGATCTTTACTTTCTTTCTTTTTTAAGAGCGGATCTTTTTTCAACATTTCCCCCTTCCCAGCGCCCATCCGCGGGAGAGTCAATGTCAGTTTTTAGAAATACGAAGTCAAAAGCAGTGTGTGAAGATAACACACACACGCATACACGCTCTTCTTGAATAATGACGTATCTGCCGTCTGCCCCAGCCCTTCCCCTCCCTTCTCCCCTCCCCTTCCCTCCCCCAGCGCCCTGGGGCAGGAGCTGTGTCTGATTATCTCCAAGAGTCCCCAGCCGACTGCACAGGGCAGGGCACAGGGCAGGCGTTGGAGATTTTTGATGTATGAATGAATGAGTGTTGATGTGCCGCTGGGGCCATGTGAAAGCCACTAACTGGTCTGGGGAGCAAAGGAATGGAGGCTGCACAGTACAGCTTTTCTGTAAGCCTTACATCAACCTTACACAGTAGGTACCCCATTTCACTGAGGAGGACACCAAAGCACAGAGAGGCCAAGTGATGTTCCCAAGACCATATGCCAGGCACAGGATTCTATCCACTCATCAATCACTTTCTAGGGCAGAGCTGTGTGGCTTTGACCCGGTTACTTGACCTCTCTGAGCCTCTGGTTCCTCATCTGTAAAAGGGATATAAAGATGCTGCTACTTGGCAGGGACTGGGCAGGCACCAGACTTCAAAAGGTGGAGGGAAAGGTATTCCTAGCAGAGGAGACAGCATATGCAAAGGCAGGAGTCACTCCTGGGGATCCCTGGCCTATTCTGGAGGATTAGGAGAGGCTTCCAGGAGGAAGTAACACGCAGGCACAGGCCAGAAGTAGGGGTTAGCTAGGTTGGGGGGGGGAACCTCAGGAAATGGACAGTGCTCTGGGCAGAGAAGCCCGCCTGGGCAACACCCTGGAGGTGAGGGAGAGCATTCCTTCATTGAAGAACCCACAGTTCAGGGTGACTAGAGTTCCCAGGGAGGGAAGAGCAGACCTGATGGGAAGACAAGAGTCTGGTGGGGCCAGACAGGAGGGAGTTCAGACTTTCTTATAAGGGCCAAGAACTCTCTTGGGGTCTCCCTCATGATCCCCAACCCAGCAGGGTTATTCTGAGGCCCCAGCCCGGACTCACTGGTTGTCAGAGTGGTGCCCGGGAAGTTTTTGAGCCAGGCATTGATATGGGAAAGACTTTGTAGGGAAACCAGGTAGCATGAAAACACTTAAAGCCCACAGGAGACAAACGCTCTGGGGCCTACACAGTGAAGGGTTGGAGTCCTCAGTGAGGTCTGGGCCCAGAGGCTCTGCCTCATCCCCTCTTGAGAGTGCACCAGCCTTAGCGTCTAGTTGGAAGAACAAGGAAGAGGGTGAGCTGGAGGCAGAAGTCCAGGCTCGGGGGAGGGAGCACCCTCTCTTAGCCAAGTCCAGGGGTTGGGGTGGGGAGTTTGGTCCCAGGAAGCTCACACTGGTGACTGTGGCAGGACTGGGAGGAGGCTATTTTGCTAAGAAAACTTTGACTTCTTCCTCTGCTCGGAATCTTCTGTGGCTCTCAGTGGCCAGCATGATCAAGTCCTAAATCCCTAGTCTGGTGTTAGAAGCCCTCCATTATTGCTCTCTGCCAACTTCACCAGCCTCATCTCCCAATCACTTCCCTCTCCCCTTGTACTAAACTTCTCTCAGCTCTGTGCACAAGCATGTTGCAATCTGTCCCTTCCATGGGGTTGCTCTTACTGTTCTCCTTGCCTGGGACCCCATATTCCTTTTCTCTCCTGAGTAATTTCTACTTCCCTGCTGGACTGAAGAGAAAGAACTTTAGGGCAACTGCCCATCTGCCCTCTTTCCTGCCATATCCTTAGAGCCTGCCACACAGTGGGTACTCAGGAAGTAACTGTTGAATGAATGTCCCATCTCTCAAATCAAGTGTCTCCTTGCTGAGAAGGCTTCCTGAACTCCCCCCCCAGGGAGTCTGCCTTGATCTCTTGGCTGGAAGGCGTGGTAATTACGTGTTTCATGTCTAGTTGGCCCCACTGGGCTGGGAGCACCTCCGTGGCAGCGTGCCCCCACCCACCAGCAGCCAGCAGAGTGCGGAACAGGCCCCTGGAAGACCTCAACACTGGGGAATGAATGAGGCTCTTAGAGCTTGCTCTCTGGCCGCCCCTGCTGGGAGAGCTTCCTAGGCGGGTCAGAGGAGCAGAATGCCAGAATGAAAAGGAGGCTTTCAGAACAGCCCCACCATCACCGCTGAGGCCCAGGAGAAGAGTGCCCAAGGTCACCAGGAGGTGACCAGCAAACAGTTCTCCGACACCCACATTCGCCCTCTGGCTACCCTCCCAGGGGGAGGAAGTCTCCTGAGCTGGGAGAATCGGGCCTTTTTGCCACTGGAGAGACCCACAAAGCGAGACAGATTCATGGTCATGGCAGCTTGTCTGGGAGGGTGATGGAGGGCTCGGAGGCGGGCTCTGAACCTGGGCATCTGGGACTGACAGAAGAGGCTCAGCCTCATGCCCAGCGCTCCCCGAGCCCCCCGTCCCCCTTACAGCCTTCCGACCAGAGGAGGTAGCCACGGCCCTGTTGCACCGCTCCTTGGTATTCTCATCGCAAAGATTCACTTTTATGCCTCCATTTGTAGTAGGAATCTTGTATTCTTTTTCTTAAATAGGGCCACCCCATTGTATATGACTTCACACCCCATGAGCTCGGCTTCCCACAGATCCTTTTGGTGCACCCACCAGGTGCAGACGCTGTGGTGGGGCGGGGGCAGGGAAGGAGCGCCACGGGGCCTCAGGCAGACGCCCCACCACCCTCCTGCTGGTGGGGCTGGGAGGCTCAGCTGAACTCACAAGACGGGCCGATTTCCGACCTCTCTGCCTCTGGCAGCCTGGACTCCTTGGCCGTGGAATTTCCTCCGTCCTTCAAGGCCCCTCCGAGAAGCCTGCCCGACTCCCGCAGTGGGAAGCACAGCATCGTCCACTGAAGCAGGTGAGGCTGGGCGCCTGGGCAGGAAGAGCATCCAAACCCTGGCTGGCCTTCAAGGATGGTGGGACTGGGGAAGAGTGTGTGCTGTGTGGGGAGTGGATGGGGTGCAGGAGTGGCAACAGAGTCACTTACCCACACTGGAGGCAACGTGGGATGTAGGGCACTTGGGATGTGATGCTGGGGCTGGCCCAGTCACCTCCCCTCTCTCTGCCTCAGTGTCCTCGTGAGTAAGATGGAGATGAAAATGGCAACCCCTCGAAGCCCATGCGGACTAAAGCGCTCAGTCAGCGAGGCCTGAGGTAGCATGGAGTTGGCGGGGGGGGGGGGGGGGTGGCGGGGGGAGACACATTGGTCCCATAGTACCCAAGCGGAAAGGTCAAGAGAGCCCATGGCTGGAGAGGTAGACAGGGAGACCTGTCCCTCAGGTCTTTGTCACAGAGTTTGGCTTCTGTGCTGCCAGCAGAGGGGCGTGTTGGGAGGGATCAAGCAGGGGACTGTGTCAGCTTGGCTTCTCAGAGCTCACCCTCGTGGCTCTTTGGAGAAGACTGAGGCAGGGAAAGCAGCTGGGGCCTCTTCTGAGAGTCCAGATGACAAGGAGAGATGAGGGTCTGAGCTGGGGTGGGTATGGAGGGGTTACGAACATTTAGGGGGAAAGAAGCAAGCTACTGACTGTGTCTGTGTGGGATAAGGGAGATAGAGAATTTGTGGGGTTTTGCCCTATCTTTGGGGGAGGGGACCAGCCCCAGGGAGGGAATGTGGTTCACAAGGATGCAGCAGGAAACCCCACAGGGGATGGAGCCCAGGACAGAGTCAGAGAAAAACTGATCAGAGAAGGGGAGAAGGGGGCAGGCCAGGAGCATCAGGACTGAATCATCGGGGTCAGCAGCTGGGGACCGAGGGTGGTTCCTGGGAGAGGTGAAGGCAGGAGCAGCAGTGCACGTGGACACGGTGTGGGCGGCCTTTTCCAGGGTCGCTGGCAAAGGGGGCACACTTGGGTGGCAGCTGGGCAGGAGGCAGAGGTGGAGGCTTTGGGTTTTTGTTTTTTGGAGGAGGACCTAAAGCCTAAAGCCATGTGAAGGAGAGGGGGTAGCAGTGTGCTAGAGAGACAGGGCACTGACCAGAGACTGAGGAGAGACAGCACTTCCCGCTTCCAGGTGGGGGGGTGCCGAGAGCGGGGCCAGGGCAGGTGAGGAAGATCAGGCCTGAAGGCCTCAGTGAAGTAGGATCCCAGGCAGGAGGCTGGGAGGCGTGGCCGGGAAAGCGGAAGGGAGACAGAGGTGAGAGCCATAAATCCGTGCTGGCCTCTTTCATATGGTGGACGGGTTGGGGATGGCTCCGGGAAATGTCTCTGTCGAGTAAATAAAAACTTATACCTGGCCTGCTTCTCCTTCTATTGGATCCCTAGCTCCAGTCTTGAAAGGATGGGAAGCTTCAGGGTCCTCTCTGACCCCATATCCTGTGGGCCCCCTCCCCTCCACCAGGCCTTGGCACCGGTCGGTGGGAATAACAGCAATCATTATGACTTTACTTTGCTCACAAGAGGGGGGATCTTGGTTCCCCTATTGTCAACTGCTTAATCACTGGACCATGAACTCCACGTTGGATTTCTTCTATGTCTTCAGCAGCACACGGGGGGCTCGGGTCACACCCAAAAGGCGGTTAATAGCTTTAAAGAAAGGCAAAGGGATAATAACATTATCAGACTGCCTCTGCTGCCGCCTGCTGTCTGATATGGGTTGGTGCAGAATAACAGAATACTAGTTCAAAGCGCTAACCCTAGAGCTCTTGCTCTCAAACTTGTGGATCTCGGGACACTGTTTCACACCTAAAAATTATTGAGGACTCCACAGAACTTCTGTTTACGTGGTTTATATTGGTATTTCCAGTATTATAAATTAAAACAGACATTTAAAAATATTTACATCATTGACTTAAAATAACAATCATATTAAATTTTAACATATTTTTATGAAAAACATATTTTCCTAAACAACAACAACAAAAAAACTAGTGAGAAGAGTGGCATTGTTTCATAGGTTTACACATTTCTTTAATGCTTGGCTTAATAGAAGACAGCTGGATTCTCCTCTGTTTCAGCGTTCAATCGGATACAATATATTGTTTTGTTTGAAGCTTACAAAGAAAATACAGACTTATACTGATTCGTAGCTAGAAAAGATTTTAGCTAGAAGCTAAAAAAGAATTATTTTCAAATAATTGTGGATATTCTCCTTTGATACTAACCAAAATTCTACAAATTTCTTGGCAGTTAGTTGCTATTAGAATTTGAAATCATATCAATGAAATTTTCTTCCTCAGTTACGGTAATATCCATTAGTTTCTTTTGCATTTTTTTAAGCAAGCTCTCCACCCAACGTGGGGCTCAAACTCATGAGCCCAAGATCAAGAGTCCCATGCTCTACCAGCTGAGCCAGCCAGGTGCCCTTCTTTTGCTCTTTGAATGTATCTTTTACCCATGCATGATTTTGTAACAGCATGCATTGGCCGTTATGGGGGAAAAAAAAAAAGTTCACCAAGTTATCTTTCAAAAACTGATAAATTTTAGCATATAATATTAAAAAATCAAATTCATTAATATCGCTACAGATCTCATCAGAGAAATCTTTACATATTGAGAAGCTGTCAGGCTTACACTGGTGAACACAAGTTTTCCAAAATTCTAATTTTCACTTGAAAGCTTGAATTTTATCATTAGCAGCAAATACCGTCAGTCTACCTTGAAATGACAGGCTCACTTATTCGTTTTTGAGAAAATGCCTGCCAGATACTCAAGTCTGCGTAACTATAATTTGCCTGTCAATTTTTCTTCCAAGTAAAAATGGTGTTCCATGAAAAAAGTGGCTGGTTTAGCTCACAATTCAAATAATTCAAAAAACACAAACGCTTTTCCTGGAGACAGCCATGATGCTTCTGTCTACAGCAGAAGTGCTTTATGATACTTCCCGTTTTGCCACACAGAATATTAAAAAGGGGGGCGCCTGGGTGGTTCAGATGGTTAAGCGTCTGCCTTCAGTTCAGGTCATGATCCCAGAGTCCTGGGATCAAGCCCCGCATCAGTGGGGAGTCTGCTTCTCCCTCTCCCTCTGCCATTCCCTCTGCTTGGGCTCTCTGGCTCTCTATCTCTCTGTCAAATAAATAAATAAAATCTTTTTTTAAAAAAAAGAATATTAAGGGGCGCCTTGGGTGGCTCAGTTGGTTGAGCCTTTGGCTCGGGTCATGATCCTGGAGTCCCTGGATTGAGTCCCGCATCGGGCTCCCTGCTCAGCGGGGAGCCTGCTTCTCCCTCTGACCCTCCCCCCTCTCATGTGCTCTCTGTCTCTCTCATTCTCTCTGTCTCAAATAAATAAATAAAATCTTTAAAAAAAAAGAATATTAAAAAGGTGTACATTCAAGGGTCACTATATAATGAATTGAATACATTTTATTGTTTCATCAATAAAATAATGTTACTGCTTTCTTGAGTGGTGTTGGCAGTGTTTTATTGCGAGGGCATGGCAGCAAAGAATATGGCTATTTCTAGGCCAGTGTGGCGCTCTGATGGGTATGGGGGCACCCGTGGTTGAACTACCCTTGTTTTGCCCCATCACCCCCGTGAAAAAGGCAAAGGATGCCTTAGGATCATTATGAAAGGAGTTTGGACCCTCTGTTCTGGGGTGTGTATTGTGTACTAGGCACTGGTCCAAGCATTTTACTTTAAAAAAAAAATTGTGCTAAAATATACATAACATAAAATTTATGTTTGCACTGTTTGTCAGTGTCCAGTTCGGTGGCATGAAGTCTGTTCACAATGTTGTGCAACCATCACGGCCACCCGTCTCCAGAACTTTCCTCGTCTTACAAAAGTCAGTGCCTGTTAAACAATGACACCCTACTCCCTCATCCCCGCAGCCCCTGCCAACCACCATTCTACTTTCTGTCTTTATGAATTTGACTACTTTAGTTACCTCATGTAAGTGGAACCATACAGACATCACTTAGCATGATGTCTTCAAGGCTCATCCATGTTGTAGCATGTGTCAGAATGTCCTTCCTTTTGAGGGCTGAATAATATTCCATTGTATGTATTTTCTCCATTCATCCATTGCGTTCACCTTTTGGCTGCTGTGCATGATGCTGCTATGAACATGGCAATAAAAGTATCCCCCAACCAACCAACACCACAGGAAAGGGGATACTAACTGTGACTTCCTATAATGACTCAATTCAAGGAAGCTTTGCGGAGCACCCAGACCACACCAGACCTGAGGCTGTCACAGGAGCACGCAGAATGGAACCAGGCCCCATCTTCTGCCCTGGGGGAGTGTCTGGTTTAGTGGGTGGAGACAGATGTGCCACATGATAGTAAGAACTTTACCAAAGAAATTTTCATAAACTCAAAATGCCACCTTCTGCTTCCCACAGAGTTCTCTTCTGATTCAGTTTTTGTAACTGAACAAGTTTCAGCACAAAGGGGAATTCAGTGAAAGGATATGGGGGAGTCCCCCAACCTCGAAGGGCAGGGGTGCAGTCAGGCCTCAGGATGAGGCAAAAACAGTACCATCAAACAGGTCCCAAATTAATATTATGGTCCATCCCCCCAAAGAGAAACTGAGCTTTCTATCTCGGTCCTAGGTCCAAAATTCTTGGAAAGAAGGCATGTGGCCTAGATTGACTATGTCCTCATTCCTCATCATGGAGGTTGAGAGTAAAGGACTGTGGTATCTATGTTTGCAAATGTGGACGGAGGGGGCAGAGGCAATTCTCAGAAACAAGGTGCTTGGCAGACCATCTGCCCAATTTGTCCCATACTGATCAGCACACAAACATGTGTTTTGTTCTGTCACAATGATGTTTGTTGATAATATTTTGAACTTTTCTTGTTTTACTAAACAATTCTATATGCATAGCATTGATAAGATTCACACACTGTGACTTCTAATGTGACCTTTTGTGATATGACTTCTCTTACCTTGGTGCATTGGTCAGCTACTGCTAGGATAAAGCCACATAACAAACAACTAAAAATCTGAGTGGCTTATAAGCAATATTCCTCTGTCCTGCTCACAGTCTGCATGTAGGCTGGGATGGCAGGGAAGGCTTCAGGCTGTCTTTCAGGCTCAGGTCTGCTCCATGTGCCTCTCACTCTGGGATCACTGGCCACTCAGAGCATGCTTTCCTCAAGGTGGATGACAGAAACTCCCAGGGTGCGAGTGGAAACACGTGATGCCTCTTAAGGCCTGGGATCAGAACAATCACCCAGTCTCTTCTGGCCACATTCCACTGGCCAAAGCAAGTCACATGACCAAGCCAATCTCAACAGAGCAAGGAAGTACCCTCTACCCTCAGTGGACCATGGCAACGGTCGAAGGAAGAATGGAGAACAAATGATATGGTTTACTACACTTGGTCATGGTTTCTTCAACTGTAAACATCAAAGTTTGCAGATGGTCCGTCAGTCTTCTGGGTGCTATTGTCCCCGGTCAAGAGATCCCATGCTTCCTTCCACTCCGCGCCGTAGGCTCTCTTGAAGGAAGATCCGAGTGGCCAGCTTCCGTGAACTGATTGAGGCTTGAAGTCGGAAGGAAGTTAGGAGAAGCTCAGCTCAGCAGCTGGCACGCTTGACATATGAGGAAACCGAGACTTGGTGAGGGGAAGTGCTTTGCCCAAAGCCACCCAGCCGAGAAACCAGCAGGCAAACCCGGGTAGCTCTGATGCCCGCATCTGGCTGCCTCGAAGTCTCCGCTGGGCTTAGAGGAGAGTTGGGCAGAGAGTGGCCAGGTTGGACTCGGGCAGGGCTCAGGTGTCCCCTCCTCACAGGAGTCTTTCATGGGTAGGCTCTCCTCTGGGCTGCCACGGGCTTCCCTCTGGGGGTTCCCTCTGTCCTCTCATTTACCACCTGCCTCTGTGACTGTCAGCTTGCGTGTCTGCTTCTACCAGGCCACACACCCCCCAGCCCCCAGCATGGGACCTGGTACATCTTGGTCCTCACAACAATGCTCATTGTTGCCCCCATTCTAGTGCCCTCTCTGGCCGCCCAGCCCTCCTGAGCAGGGAAAGCAATTCCTTCACGTATTCATTGCTCCTTGCCTTTCTTCCTTCTTTCAGTACATTCATACTGAGTGATTACTTTGTGCTCAGCATTGTTCTAATGCTGGGGGTACAGCAGGGAAAGTTCTCTGCCACCATGAAATTTACTTTCTAGTGGAGGGAGGTAGACAATAAGCAAGGAAAAAAAAAGAATGGGATATCTGATGAGATATGTGCTATGGAGAAAAGAAAGAAAACCATAGACAGAGGAGAACATGGAAGGTCAGCAGGGGAGTTATCATCTTGAATGGAGTGGTCAGGGAAGGTGGCATTTGAGTAAAAAGACCTGAAGCAGAACACAGGTGCAAAGGCCCTGAGGTGGGGCACACCTAGGATGTTCAAGCCAGGAGGCCAATGTGGCTTGAAAGAAGGGGGTGATGGAAGGGCTGGGGCGGGGTGGGGAGGGAAAAGGTGGGTCCTCGAGGTCACAGAGATCAGAGCATGGAGGGCTTAGAGCCTACGGTAAGGAATTTAACTCTCGCTCCAGTTGAACTGGGAAGGCACCGCAGAGTTCAAAGCAAGAGGGCGTCAGCATTTGCCTCATGAGTTAAATAGACCAAGGCGAGTAGGGTCGAAGCAGATGCGACAATCAAAGGAGAGGTGGCTCAGGGGAGGCCGCAGCAGGGAGGTGTGAGGGGGAGTCGCATTCTGGGATGTCTGTGGGAGGGGGAGCCACAGGACTTCCTGATGAACTGAATATAGGTTGTGAGAGAGAGGAGTCCACGGTGGCCCCGTATGCTTGGCCTGAGCATCTAGAAGGATGGCACGGCCCTGGTCTGTCTTGAGGAAGGTGACAGGAGCAGTAAGTTTGGAGTTGCAGATCAGAATTCGGGGCTGGATGTGCTAATTCTCAGATGTCTCTTAGACATCCAAGTGGAGATGGTGGGCGCACAGTTGGAGATACTCATCCAGAGTCTGGGAGAGGTCCAGAAAAGTGGGAGTCGGGGCATGGAAAAGGTATTTAAAGCTCACGGTCGGATGAGACCAACAAGGAAATGGTGGCTGCTGTAGAGAAGGCCGAGGACCGAGCCCCAGGCTCCCATGTCGGGAGAAGAGGAGGAACAGGCAACAGAGACAGAGAGGGGGTGTCCAGGAGAAGAGGAGGGGGGAGTTCGAGGGTGTGTGGGGTCCCAGGACTTAAGAGAGAAAAGGGTCCCCGAAGAGGGCCAGGCAGCAGTGTTGAACTAGTCACCCACTGGGTCCACGGCATGGAGGTCGTGGCGACCTTGGAAGGACCTTTGGTGGAGTGACGGGAGAAACACTGGGTAGGGCGACAGTAAGAAACAACAGGAGGCTGGAACTGGAGACAGAGGTCCGCACCGTTCCTCTGAGGGGTTCTGCTGAGGAAGAAAGGGAAGACAAGGCACAAGGAGGGAAACAGAGAGGGCCTTCATGAGCTAGAACTAGTACGTGTGTACGCCCAAGGGAAGGATCGAGAGGACCCTACTTGCCTTGGTCGATTTAACTCATGAGGCAAACGCTGATGCCCTCCTGCTTTGAACTCTGTGGCGCCTTCCCAGTTCAAGTGGGAGAGAGCAGACTGCCTGGGAGGAGGGACTGGCTTGAGCCAGAGGAGGGCAGTATTACCCACAAGATGCCAGGAGGGAGCCTGTGGGGAGTCCTTTCTGTTTTCTTTCATTCTCTCAGTGACTCAGGAGGCAAGACCATCAGCTGGGATGCGGGTAGGGAAAGGGTCTTGGAGATGGGAGGGCAGAGGAGAAGCCATGCAGCCGTTGCCCGGGAGGGCACGACAGGAGGCCCTCGTATGTGTGCATGGAAACTTGCAGGCCCCTGGGTTGGGCAGCCATGCATTGAGCATCAGGCAGCCCCGAGGGCGCAGAGCCCAGGTGCCTGCCCCAGACCACCATCTCTTCTGGCCCCGGTTGGTGGGCCAGGCAATGCAGCGTGGACAGATGTGCAACTCGGGGACTTAACAGCATGCTGCAGATCAGGGTCCGGGAGAAGGAATGTGCCCAGCACACCTCAAGCTTCCAAGACCGGATTTACGTCTTCAGGCAAGCTCCCCTGCCTCCATATCCAAACTGCGTGTGTGGGGAGCAGGGCATTTGGCAGCCTTGCTTTGGGGTGGTCTTACAGGGTCCCCTATGCCACCGACCCTAATGTACCCATAAAGCAGATACTATCCCTGTCATGTCCTTAGGAACAAGACCCCCATCTCCTGGGCAAGAGCCAGTGTTGGGCTGCCCTGTCTGGTTTCATTGTCCTTGTATTTTTGGGTCTGTTTTTTGGCAGAGGCTGCTTTTCCTAGATGACTTAACATCTGTTAGCTTGCTTCTAAAATAAAACAGGACAAGTTTGACTCCAATGTGTTCTCTTCCTCTGTGGTGGCCATCAGTAAAGGTCTGGCTGTCAGGGGCCCCACCCGCTGCCTTTCCACCCTGATCTCATGCCACTTGGGTGGATTCTGGTGTCCTGCCTGGCGTTGGTCAAGCCCTTGCTCCTGACTGGAGCATCTCCTGCCTCCAGCTTCTGGCCTGGCTCCTGAGGGCTCCTCGCCACCCAGAACCCCTCTGCTGAGCTCCTGGGGTGCTGACCTTCAGATGTGGGGTGGCACAGACCGAGCCTTGTGGTACCCAGGGATGTCCCTGCCTCTTATGTCCCAGCTAATCCCAGCTCTGTTCTCCTCCTTCTGTGCCCCATCGAAGCACCCAGGAGGTCCTGGCTAGCTCAGGAGCCTGAGTCACAAGCTTTCTCAGGCTGGGGACAAGGAGCTCACATTTGCTGAATCTTGATGTATGTCAGGCACTGTACCAGGTACAGGTGGCCAGCCCTACAGCTAGTTCCCCGATATCTGTGCCCTCCTTCTTCCACAATAATAGTACTCCTGATTTTTACTGGGGCAGTGGCCCCTTGGAATAAAAAGTCCATTTCACAGACTCTCTTGCTGTGGCCCTGGGACTGAAGTTAGGACCAATGGAATGTAAGCAGAATTGCTGCGTACAATTTCTGGGAAGCACCCTTAAAGGGAGTGACGTGCCCTTCTTTGGTCCTTCTCTCATCTGCTGCCTGGAACATGGATGTGATGGCTGGGGCTCTAGCTGCCATCTTGGTCTTTGAAGACAAGGGCCATACCCTAGGGTTGGAGGAGCCAGGAGCTAGAAGGAGCCTGAATGCCCAAGCACTTAATGAAGCAGAGCCTCCCCACCACCCTTGAACCATTTATTTCTAGACTTGCATCTGAGAGAGAAACAAACTCTCCTTTAAGCAGGAACAATTCTGGGGATCTGTTGCTCACAGTCGAACCTAATCCTGCAATGACGCCTGCCTTCTGCCAGGTATCTCATTTTCATCTTCAGAAGAGCCCCACAGAGTGGATGTTACCCACCTCATTGTAGAGAAGAGGGAAGAAGTCTCAGGGATGTTTTTTAGGCAAGTGGCCTAAGGCCACCCAGCCAGTGTAAGGCTGAAGTGGGTGTAAGCCCCATTTGTTCTGACTCCTGGCCCCCCTCTCTCCACCAGCCCCTGGGGCCACAGCCAGGCCAAACAACCTGCGTGCGCTAACACCACCTGGTCTCCCAAGAGTACTTCATCCAGGGCTCAGAAGCAGCTAATGAGCAGAAGCCTTTAATGTTGCAGGGTGACAACTGATTCCTAGACAGTTTTAGCCCTGGAAGCCCCACATCCCTCAGTTATGGGCAAACCCGGACAGGTGGCCACACAGAACTGTGACCCAGCCAGCCCCCGTTGCTGCCCTGTGAGCACCCAGACCCTGAGCCATTACAACCTGCCCGTTTCCAGGGATGTGTTTTCTTCCTTCCAGGAGCCCTGGGAGCTTCCTGAGCTGGGGCCTTGGCTGTCAGCCCCTAGGATCTGTTTAAGGGCTGGAGCAGGGCTTAAGGGATTAAGGAAATGAGGTTCATCAATGCTGGCAAGAAGTGACAGCCCCAGTTACATCTTGACTTGACCTTGCAGTGGCCTCAGAAGTCAGCAGCTCCCACACCTGTCTTGACCCTTCTGTATCCCCTGACTCTCTGCATATCCTGCGACCCCCAAGAAAGCACAAAGTCCTAGTGTGGTGGGGTCTGAGGCCATCAGTCTGACCTAAGGGGGCCCACCCATCCCTGCCCCCATCCAGGTGCCTATCAAGCATGGCTGAGCCCCAACTCAGTATAGCACAAGGGCCCCGCACTCAGGAGGACTTGGGTCAAATCCCGGCTCTCCTGCCTTCAAGCCAGCGGTTTCAGCTTCTGAGCCTCAGTTTTCTCATCTGTAAAACAGGGATAATAGTACCTACCACATAAGACTCTACCAGGATTAAGGCGATAATGCACCATGAAGCTCGCCCCAGGGCCTGGTACAGAGTTAGCACTCAGTGGAGGTTGTCATCGTTGCCATTCTTGCTTTAGTACTTCTTTGTGTCCCGCAGCCTTTGTGCTGGATAACAGGGACCCAGTGACAAACCAGAAGCCATCCAGGGATTCTTCAAGAAACTCAAAATCTGATGGGGAGACATGACACCAGACATTTCAAAAATGCAGGAACTAGAACAGTTCTTGTAGGAGGAGAGAACAAGGTACGGTGGGAGCACGAGGGAAGAGTGTCTCAATGTGCTCCCTGGGGCAATCAGGGAGGTCATCCTGGAGGAGGCAGAGTTTGCATGGAGGCTTGCAGAGGAGCAAGTTTTTGCCAGGCAAATCCAGGTGATGAAGGAGCCTCTGGCAACTCTCTGAGTCAGGGGTTCTCTAGTCATGTGATAGGGTGGGGTGGGACTAAGGCTCATCCTATGGCTGGTGTCTCACCAGGGGCTCTAAAAGCTGTGGACAAGAGAGCCCCAGCACCCAGAGGCCTAAATGGAGTGTCAGCCCATCCTGCAGGCCCAGCAGAGGGAGTGCTCCCAGACCTGTCCTGCCAGCCTCCAGCCATCACCCACCCGTGGTGCAGGGGCTCTTTAAGAGAAAGTTGTCATTCTGCTCTGCTTCTCTTCCCTCCTTTAAGCCCAGTGAGGAGGGCTTCCAGAGCACTGTTCAGAGAGCTTGACATATGTGCCTCACTCTGGGAGACACTGGGACCAGAAGGGCTCTCATACACTGCACAGTCTAACAGCAAGGGGCTGTGTGTGGCAGCAGAGTGGGGAGGGCCGGGCCGCTGCTGGGAACGGCTCACTGCCTGGGTAGACAGACAGAGGACGCCTGATTTTCCAGGGGAAAATGAGGGCCTGCCTGCCTAAGCTGGTGTCCCCCTGCCTGAGGACCAGTTTGGGGGTGGTGAGGAGATCCCGACAGAGTGGGGACAGCTGGAGACTGACAGGGAAGTGGCAAACCGGAAGAGGCCCTGCTTTATCAGGGGACATCTAGGTGAGAGGTCCCGAGAGGAGGAGTTTTCCTGAAAAATCTCCAGGAGAATCCCATGAGTTAAGATAACTTGGGACATCCACCATGGCCAGAGGGTCCGCAGGCCAGGTTACAACCGTGTCAGGCAAGGAGGGCCTTTTCTGCCCTCTCTCCCACTCTGCACTCCACTCTGGAGGGGCCATAGGGAGCCAGAGATGATCATGGGGGGAGAGCAGCATGCTCTCCAGGTTTCCAGTTTAAAGCCTTGCCTGAAAGAAGGGTCTCAATTCTAGACTGGGAAGATTTTGGTGTTTTAATAACACTTTGAATTGTGTTGAAAAAAATAAACGTGCGCAGGGCACCTGGGTGGCTCAGTCAGTTGCGTGTCTGACTCTTGATTTTGGCTCAGGTCACAGTCTTAGGGTTGTGGGATCAAGCCCCGTGACAGGCTCTGCACTGGGTGTGGAGCCTGCTTAAGATTCTCTCTCTCCCTCTCCTTCTGCCTCGCCAAAGAAAAAATGAATAAATACACATGTGGATGATGTACCTAAAATTAGGCAGATTAGTAAAATAAACCCCCATCCCCCACTATCCCTCTGCAGCGATAATCAGGTCATGCCAATCTTGTTTCTTCTCTGCTTCCGGCCCACTCCCTCTAGTGTAATTTCGAATCAAATCTACAAGAAAGAGTAGAACAACTTCCTGCTTGCCTCTGAAAAATTAAAAATAACGTCAGCATCCTCTACTATTTGATTAGGGCTCTCATTTTAGGGCATAAACCTGAGATCAAAGCTGGCAGGACCTGTGAAGTCATTACATTGAAGGTGGGGCTCATATCTGCTGCTTTCGTCCTCATGCCCACTACCCAGGACAGTGCCAGGCACATAGTAGGTGCTCAATAAATCATTCTGGAGCCTCTCTACCTGTTCCTCTCGCCGTCCCAGGCAGCGGTTCTCCTGATGTGCATCAGCTGGAGATGATACTCAGCCTTCCAGTCCAGGCTACAGCAGGTCCTGCCCACAGCGCCCCCACCCCAAGGCCTCGGCCAGAGGCAGGATTCCTGCACTGAACACAGGAAATGAGGAGGCAAAGTGCCCAGCTCAGTGCTCTGTAATGGCAGGTGGCTAAGAAGTGGTAAGAAGACACCCTGAGAAAAGTTTTGAGCAGGAGGGTGACATGGCAAACATTCTGGGAACTTCACTGAGTGGAAGGGGGAAGAGAAGGGGCAAGGATGGGGGCAGCAAGACATTGAGGAGACACTTAGCGCACTCTGGGGAGAGGAAATGAAGGTTTGACCCATCTGGCAGGGGACCAATGGGGGATGTGGAAGACGGGGTATCTGGAAAAACTTAGAGGCACGGCTCAGCTGCTGGAGGTCAGACCCCTCCCGTCTTTGAGCTCTCGGTCCTGAATGTTCTGGATAAGCCTTTACGAGGGTCCTTACTATGACTGAATACTTGTGCAAAATGAAAATGCAGGGCTCAATGTCCAAACATTATTAAGAATTGCAAGATGGATGGGGCGCCTGGGTGGCTCAGTTGGTTAAGTGGCTGCCCTTGGCTCTGGACTCCTAAGGTTCTGGGATTGAGCTCCGTATGGGGCTCCCTGCTCAGCGGGGAAACTGCTTCTCCCTCTCCTTCTGCCCCTCTCCCCTGCTCATGTTCTCTCTCGTGCACTCGCTCTCTCTCTCAAATAAATAAACAAAATCTTAAAAAAAAAATTTCAAGATGGTGACACCAGAGCATTAAACCAAGAGAAGAGTTCTTTGCTTAAGACTGACAGATTTAGATGCGGGGGGGGGGGGGGGGGACCCAGTTAAAGGTGAATTTCAGATAAACAACAAGTTTTAGTATAAATGTGTCTGGTGCAATAGTTGCAATAAAAATCACTGTTATCTGAGATTCACCTTTGACTGGGAGTCCTGTGTGTTAGCCCGCAGCAGACCAGATGGGTCCTGTGGTCTCCTCCATTGCCTGGGGCTCCTGGGAAGCGGGTTGTCAAGCTAGCTTGCGTCAGAATCCCCTGGAGGCCTGTTAAAACAGATTTCTAGGCCCCACCCCCCGAGTTTCTGATTCATAGGTCTGGGGTGGAGTCCAAGAATTTTCATTTTTTTCCTTTTTAAAGTATGCTTTATGCCCAACATGGGGCTTGAACTCAAGACTCTGAGATGCTCCACTAACTCAGCCAGCCAGGCGCCCCAGAATTTTCATTTCTAACAAGTTCCTAGGTGATGCTGATGGTGTGGTCCTGAGGCTACATTCTTTTTTTTTTTTTTTAAGTTTTATTTATTTATTAGAGACAGAGACACAGAGAGAGCAAGACCAGCGGGGGGGAGGGGCAGAGGGAGAGGAAGAAGCAGACTTCCCGCTGAGCGGGGAGCCCCACGCGACGCGGGGCGAGACGCGGGGCACGATCCCAGGATCCCAAGATCCCAAGATCATCCGGAGATCACGACCTGAGCAGAAGGCAGACGCCCAACCTACTGGGCCACCCGGGCGCCCCCTGGCGGCACATTCTGAAAACCGCTGTTCTAGGAGCCAGTCCATTACCCTAGGGAAGCTCATAAATAGGACACAGAAAAGCGCAGTGACCCAAAATGGCCACCAGAGGGCAGAAGTGCCCACTAGTCAAGCTGTCTGGGGGCTGAGCTTATACCTGTGCTGAGCATTTGCTCTGTGCCTGACCGTGTCCAGGGACCTTGCTAGGACAAAACCATGGGTCAGACTCAGTGCCTGCCTTTGAGGAGCTCAGGGTCTGGAGAAGGAGACAGAATTGGTGCTGATATGGCGGGAAGCCCGGAGAGGAGTGGGGAGGCTATGGGAACCCAGAGGAGGCTGGGGGTAGTCAGGCAGGTTTCCTGGAGGAGCTTGTCTCCTGAACCATGAGTAGAAGTCACCCAGGTGGGGAGAAGAGGAGGAAGGGCATCCTGGGCTTAGGAACCCACAAGGGCACACAGGGTGGGAGGTATTTGGTGTGCTCAGGGGGTAGTGCAGGAGCCGGGAAGAGAATCGGTGGGTGAATGCCTAGTGAGGCTGGCAATGACTTGGCTGGATCTTAAGGGTTTCAGGGAGCTTCTGGAGGGTTTTAACTAGACAGTATGTTAGCATCACCCCCTGAAACAGTGTGGAGGAGAGGCCAGAGGCATGGAAACTAATGAGCAAGCTGGTGCAGTGGTCCAGGGAAGAGGTGATCAGATGAAGCAAGGATCGCAACAGTCTCTCCCTTCCTTCCTTCCTTCCTTCCTTCCTTCCTTCCTTCCTTCCTTCCTTCCTTCCTTCCTTCCTTCCTTTCCTTCCTCCTTCCCTCCTCATGGAACAACTTCTCTGAGCCAAGCTGGGCTGGGAGCTGGGCCTTGGTGCACTCAAGACAGACAGCTTCTGGCTTTCGCAGAGCTTCAGTTCTAACAGGAAAGACCACCATCCAACAGGCACAGGGAGGTAGCCGGGGTCCCTGTGGGACAGCACAAGGGATGCTAAGGAAGCCAACTATACAGGCAGAGGTGGGGGGTGGGAGGTATATCCCTGGAGAACCCCTGACCTAGAGATCACAGATGCCTCATTCAGCCAGACCCTGGTGCCCTCCTCGCCACAGTCCGGAGCTAACAATGTGGCCACTGAAGGCCGCTGCCACTACTGGAGGTCTAGGCTTTCCTGCTCCCATCTTCCCTTAGCCACACAACCCTGGCCTTCAGGGGGAAGAAAGAGCAGGATTATGTGCAGGTACCAGGGGCTGGGCCCACTCCTTGACCAGAATCAGTCTGGCCTCCAGCTCTAGGTGGCTGCCCAGGCAGGCTCCTTCTTCAAACATCCAGGGCTCTCATTCTAAGCATGTGAATGGTTGGCCAGCTAGAAGTTGGGGAGATGGAGGAGATGACCTTAAGTGCCAAGGGGAGGGTTGTCCTGGATGCTTAGGGTTCCCAGAGCACATCACATTCATCTACAGAGGTGAGATTGGCCCCATGGATAAAGTTGATTAAAATCAAGCTAACTGGAACATGACTTTCTAGAAGGGTAACCTTCTTGCTATTCTGAGAACATGCCTAGCCTTGAGGACTTTGCACATGCAGTTCCCTCTGCTTGGGGTGCTTGCTGTCCTCCCCTCGAAGGCCTTCACAGGGTTGGCTTCTGTGGTAGGTAGAATAATGGCCCCCCAAAGATGGCTGTGTCCTAATTTTGGATATGTTCATTTACATGGTAGAGGTGATTCAATTACGGATCTTAAGATAGGGAGATTACCCTGGTGGCCCAACACGACCACAAGGGTCCTTGTAGGAGGGAGGTGGGGAGAGAGCTTCAAGTCAGAGAAAGAGGTGTGATCACACAACAGGGGGCAGAGAGAGGGGGAGACAGGGTGCTGTCACACGGCTGCCTTTGAAGATGGAGGAAGGGGCCACAGGTCAAGCAATGCAGGCGGTCTCCAGGAGCTCGAATGGGCAGGAAACAGATTTGCCCCTAGAGTGCCCCGGAAGGTACAGAGCCCTGCCAAGCCATTTTAGTCTTCTGACGTCTAGAACTTACATTGTAGTGAGCCACTGAGTTCCTGGTAACTTGTTACCACAGCCACAGGCTACAAATGCAGCTCATCATTCAAGTCTCAGGCTAGCCGCCCCCGCCCCCGCCTCCCCCCACCTGCTCTCAGTTCTTCGGAGCCCTTATCATCACCTGAAGTTATCACACTTGATTCTTAATCATAGCCTGTCTCCCTCGGGCTGCATTGTGAGGCTCCTGGAGAGCAAAGGCCTTGTTTTGTTCACCTAGAACGGTATCCGGTGCACAGTGGGTTCTCAATAAATATTTGTTGCATAGGAGAAAGAAGGAAGGAAGGAAGGAAAGCCTTAATATGGTCCCTGTCCAGTGCACGCTGAGGGCGAGGGAAAGGAGAGGCTTTGGCAGGCTGTGAGAAAGCAGAATGGGGGGCCGGAGGGCCAGAGGGGCCCAGGCATGGCGGGGAGGGGAGATGGTTGTGTGTGCATGCCTGTGGGAGCAGTGTGGCACCCAACACAGAACTTGCCCTTGCACCTTCCCATTTACAGGGCAACTTTTTTTTTTTTCCTTTTGCCCCTCAGAACAACTTGGAAGAGGGGCTGTTGAAAGGAACCCTTATTCTCACTTCACAGATAGGGCACTAAGGCTCTGGACAGTGATTAGAAGCCGGGGAGACCTCCAGGTGCCTCTCTTGCAAGGACTCCGTGGCTCACCTGCCCCCCAGTCTTGCCAAAACCTCCCCACAGGCTAGTTCTGCTAGCCAGGCCGGCTTCTGGCCACTGCCCTGCTGCTCCATCTGCCCCAGCTGCCCTTCCTCAACTTCTCTCCGGGCTGGGACTAGGAGGAGGCCAGGAGGCACTCACCTGGGTGCAAATTAAAAGGGGCATCAAAAACCTCAGTAATCAAAAGAAATAACATTTGCAATATATATTTTTAAAGACTTTATTTATTTGACAGAGAGAGACACAGCAAGAGAGGGAACACAAGCAGGGGGAGAGGGAGAGGGAGAAGCAGGCTTCCCGCCAAGCAGGGAGCCCGATGCGGGGCTCGATCCCAGGACCCTGGGATCACGACCTGAGCCGAAGGCAGATGCTTAAAACTGAGCCACCCAGGAGCCCCAATTTGCAATATTTTTAATAACAGGTTTTTTTTTAATCAAAGTTAATGTGAAAAGATATCCACGATGGAAAATATACCAAAATCTTAAATATTTTTTTCTCTTTTGGCTCAGGCTCCAATACGGCTTGACACAGTACTGTTTTACTGATCTCACCCAGGACAGGCTATGTGATGTATGGGGCCCCTTCCTCAAAAATCATTCAGAATTTCAAGATGGCAACAGCAGAACATTTAACCAAGTGTGGGGCCCTGGGAGACTGCACAGGTTGTACACTCATGAAGTTGGCCTGGTTCCTGGCTTTATTTAAAATTTTGATATTTTGTTCATCATGGATATTTTTCGTGTGTTGCTTTTGATTTTTGAAAATATTACTTACCTTGATTACTGTGGGTTTGGGTGTTGCCATTAATTGTGCAAGGGAGGAGAGCACCTCGCTTTCCTCACCCTCCCCAAGCTTTCTGTGCTTGCTGTGAGCGCCTTCTCAACCCCAGGCAGTCTCCTCCAGGAAGTCTTCCCTGCCCCTCATCCCTGCATGGGGGGAGGTACTTTTGGGTTCTAATGCCCTCTCCCTGCTCCCCTCTGTCATACCGTTGAGCATCCCATGTGAGGCTCATTGCCTAAGGACAGAAAGTGTCCAAGATTTGAGCAACTCTGAGTTCTGACCATCAGTGATGCCCGCGTCAGCCTCCTGATGCCCTCAGGTACCCCCCAGTTGCTGCAGTGGACAGAACCCCAGACCCCAAGCAGGGAAACCTGGCTTCACATCCAGGCTCTGTCATTCCTGGGCTGTTTGAGGCTCAGTTTCCCCATCTGCAAAGTGGGAATGAAAAACGCCTACCTCCCAGCAGGGTTATGGGACTTAAAAGAGAATGCACACACAGTGGGCATCATAAGTGCCACTTTCCTTTCCTCTGTGCCTGGTTTGGGGGCTCAGACCGGTCAGCTGTGCCCCTGGTGACCCCCTTCCCGCTCCAGCCCCCAATCTTCGAGTTCTTTTCCACAACTCTCTGTCCCAGCTAAAGAGATGGCTCAGAGGGATGAGGGATTTGCCCAGAGTCATATACAGAGTCAGAGGCTGAGCACAGACGGAAAGCCAGGACGGGATGCCCAGCCTGGGCTCTGCAGGTGCCCAGCCCCTCCCCCTCCCCCTCCCCCCTCCCCCCGCTTCCGAGTCGGGCCTCAGGAATGCTGAGCTTGAGAGGGACGGCTGAGCGTGTGCATGGTTCGCAGCGCCCCCCCCCCGCCCGGGCCCACACGCACCCACACGCCCACGCACCGGGCCGAGGGCTCTGGGCGCTTCCATGAAAGGCGTGTTTCCCCCGTGAGTCAGAGCAGACGCAGAGCAGACAGCCTTGGAGCCGGGCTGCGCTGCAGTCCCAGCGCTCCAGCCTGCCCCCGGGAGCCCGTCCCCCCTCCCTGCTGGAACCTCTGGGCAGCGGCCTGCACAGCTGCACCCCCTCAGCGGGGCCTGCAACGATAGGCCCACGTTGCATCAGCGGGGCCTGTCTCTGCGCCGGCTCCAGCCCGCCAGCCAATGGGGTCTGGCCGAGTGTACAGATCCCGGCCCGGACGCACCCCACCCACCGTGGAATCGGGCATTCTTGGCGACTGAGGAGGGGACGAGGGCGGTATCTCCCCAGCGCATCCAGCATGGCCTTCTTCCCTCTACCCCTCCCCTCCAGCCTCACCGGTGGCCCTGTCGATGCCACCCTGATTCTCCTTCCTGACGGTGGCAGGGTGCCCCCTCCGCCTGGAGTGGGCCTGTTTCTCCCTGGGCTCAGTTCTTCTCTTGCTCGGTACCTGCCCTCACCCACACCTTCCATCCCATGGGGTCCCTTACTGTCCCGTGCCCTGACTCCCAAATCGTCCCCTCCAGCCTGGCCTTCTCTCTCGAGTGCCAGCCTAATGGAGGCTACAGCCTCCCAGATGTCTCCAAGCTACAGACAACATCTTCCCTCCCAGTGTCCATCTCAGGAAGGGCACCATGGGCCACCCGTTCCCCCAGGCTGCACACCCCAGGGTCCTCCTTCTTCCTGCTGCTGGCGCCCCCAGCCTCAGTCTACCACCAGGATCTCTGGAGTCCTCTGGTTCCTACCCACGTGCAGGCATGAGCATCTAGCTCTGGACTGTTGTGACATTCTCCCCCCGGCCTCTAGCACTCTCCACTCAGCAGGCAGAGAACTACTTTAAAAACACCTCCTTCTCTCTCCCTCAAATAAATTAATAAATAAAATCTTAAAAACAAACAAACAAAAAGGCGGTGGGGAGGCACCTGGGTGGCTCAGCTGGTTAAGCATCTGACTCTTGGCTTTGGCTCAGGTCACAATCTCAGGGTCGTGGGCTCCGGGCTCAGAACAGAGTCTGTTTGTTCCTCTGCTCCTCCCTGCTCCCCCACTCTCTAAAATAAATAAAATCTTTAAAAACACCAATGGGACCTGTCTGTTCCCTGCTAAAGTGTCTTCAGGAGGAAGCTCCAAGTTCCCCGCCCCCAAGCTCCTGGAAGACCCCTGGCTGGCCATCTTCTTCTGCAGCTTTACCCACACATACTCCTGACCCCTCACATGGTGACCTTTGTCTGGACCTTCCCTGCCTGCCTGCCCTGGTGGCTTCCCATGAAATACTGTCAGGATCTAGCTCATTTTAGCCTGAGGCCTAAAGCCAGCAGGCTTGCAGGGGTGGAAAATGCCAGGCCTGGCCAGAAGAGCTCAAGCCCCAGCCTCCCAACCTCCCCAGAGCTGCAATTAGGGACCCTGAGCCCCAGGCCCCATTGGCCTGCACTTTCCCGCCCCCCACTCAGATGTGGCCTTCAGGCTTGGCTTGACCTCCCACTGGATGTTTCTTTCCTATTCACTATATTGACTTTTTAAAAAACCGATTATAGAAGTGATATATGCTATTGAAAAATTTCAGAGAAGCAGAGGAGAAAATAGAAATAATGTATATTTCCATCTCCAAAGATAAACAGTAATAAACCCTTGAAGAGTTTTCCTTCTGGTCTTTTTCTCTGAGTATTATACACATTTCTTTATATTTTTTATTAACACACATTCATTGAAAAAAATAAAACAACCTCAGGGGCACCTGGCTGGCTCAGTCAGTAGAGCATGCGATTCTGGATCTCGGGGTTGTAAGTTTGAGCCCCACGTTGAGTATAGACATTACTTTAAAAAATAAAATCTTTAAAAATAAAAAAAAGTACATAAAACAACTTTGAACAGTAGAAATGTTTTAAAAATTAAGTGGAAATCATCTAATACCAAGAGTGGACTTCTTGGTGAAATGTGAACATACTTCCACACATCTGTGCCTGCCTCTGCACAGAGAGTTTTCATAAATATAGGGTTTTATAAGCTGCTCTATTTTTTGTCCACCAAATCCACTGAGCTGTCTTTCTCGGCTTGAGGATTAGAATAGCTTCCCCCTTTATGATGACCGCCAAGAGTCCATCCCATACTGATACTGTCTCCAATTTTTGGCCCTTACAAACAAGGCTGTAATGTGCATCCTTGTACATGTACCTAGGCTCATATTTTCAAAAATAATTTCCTTAGGCTAAATTCCAACAAGCCGATTTAAAAAAAAAAACAAATAATTTAAAATTTAAAAAATGTGTGAATAAGTATAGAGATAGAGTTCACCCTTGAACAACATAGGGGTTAGGGGTGCTGACCCCCTACACAGTCAAAAAATCCATGAATAACTTTGGACTCCCTCAAAACTTAACTACTAACAGCCTACTGTTGATCAGAAGCCTTACTGATAAGATAAAGTCAACTAACATATTTTGGGTGTTATATGTATTATATACTGTATTCTTACAATAAAGCTAGAGAAAAGAAAATGTTTTTAAGAAAATCATAAGGAAGAAAAATTCATTTACAGTATTGTACAGTACTTATTTTTAAAAAAACCATCTGCATATAAGTTGGACCGCGGTTCAAACCAGAGCTGTTCTCGGTCAGCAGTAGTCCAAAAATAAGTCTCACCCCTCCCTTTCTCCCTTCCCTCCGGCCCTTCCCCTGCAGGGAGGAATGCTACAAGCTTCTCACCCAGCTACAGGGATGCTGTGTGCGGATCTGAAAGGCAGCAGTGTACCCTACATGTACATTCTCCTTCACTTCCCTCTTCCATATCAGTATCAGGACATAAAGAACCTCCTACTTTTTGTTTTTCCCAGCTTCTTGGTATTCCCACTCCCTACCAATAAAAGGGTTGTTTCCAATTTTTGCGATTACAAACAATGTTGCAGGGAATTATTCAGTACCATGTCTTTAAAGCTCCCAGTGCAAAGTGCCTTCTGGAAAGGCTGTGCCCATTGCTTCTCCTGCCAGAACCCTTCTTTCTGTTTAAAATGCAATCCCTCAGATCCTTCTAGATCCTGTTCAAATCCCCCATGTTACAGATGAGGAAACTGAGGCACAGGGAGTTGCAGCAACTTTCCAAGGTCACTCAGTGAGTAGTGGCACCCAGACTTCCTGACTCCCAGCCTGGGTTCTTCCCCCTTCTGCAGGCTGCCATCCTCTGCCTGTGCCTCCCCAGGGCAGTCACCATGACACTCACAGCCCTTTGGGATCCTCGTGTATATGTGCAAGGCCAGGTGTGAGTGGAACCGACAGGACAGCGCTCAGAGGACAGAGCAGGAGTGGCCAGGTAGGACTGGACCAGGCAATGAAGAGGTGAGCAGAGCATGAGTGCTCTCCAATTCCTTGTTTCATCTGTGCTTCATCATATCTTCGAGATGATCATTACTAGTTTGGCGGGGGGGACCTAGATCATGGGCACGAGGCTAAAATATAGCAGACCTCCAAGCCAGGGCTTCTTGGACTCCTAACACTGGGGAGGCCGCCCTGGGCTGAAGCAGGTTAGGGCTGTGGGGTGGTCAGGACTCAGGGTCCCTTTTCTGGTTGTCAGAGATAGATGGTGAGACAGGGAGGGCAGCCCTGTGGCTGAGCTGGGCATCACTATTATGACAGCTGTGGGTGTCACCTAGGGGAGAGGAAAAGAGCTGGGCTCTGGGCGAGGGGGTGGGAGAGGCGGCAGGGGAAGGGAAAGGGTCAGACAATATTTAACAAGCATCTCCCAGCCTACCAGCCTCTTGGCCTTGCAGGCAGCTGGATCCATTTCCATGGGGCTGCCAGAGGAGGCCTGGGAGGGGGAGGCCGGGAGAAGGGAGGGAGCTACCAATCCACCCAAAGTACAATGTGCTGCCCCACTCCCTAAAGCTGAGCCTTCTTAAGAGCCTTCTCCCTTGCTCTGACCCTAAGAAGGCAGAGCATCTCTGCCCCCGGGGGCACCAAGGACCTGCCTTTGCAAACTGGCATGCCTGATGCTAGGGGGGTGAGGGCAATGAACGGGCTTGGACTTTCTCCAGGGACCACTGGGAGCCACTGGAGAGCTGGTGAAGGGAGCCCTGGGCTGCTGGGCTCAGGAGCCCTGTCCCTGTGCCACCTAGCTCCTTCCACTTCCCGGTGGGAACTATATCCTAGCCTCCTAGGGTTTGGGGCACCCCACACGTGGTAGATGCTCAAGAAAGGCCTGCAGATTTTTTTAAAAAAAGATTTTATTTATTTAAGAGAGAGAGTGAGCGAGCGAGCGAGAGAGAGAGAGAGAGAGAGAGAGAGCGAGCACTCAAGCATGAAGGAGGTGGGGGAGGGAAGGAAAGGGAGAAGCAGTCTCCCTGCTGAGCAGGGAGCCCGATGGGGGACTCGATCCCAGGACCCTGGGATCATGACCTGAGCCGAAGGCAGACGCTTAACGGACTGAGCCCCCAGGCGCCCCAAGCCTGCAGGTTCTGAGGTGAAGGCAGGGTGAACAACCGGCCGCCAGCAGGGAGTGGGGTGCAAGGAGGAGTCACAGCCTCTCATTTTACAAATGGAAACTCAGAGAGGGAAGTGACTTCCCCAGTGCTTCACAGCTGATAAGGGGTGAAGGGATGAGAGTGGAACCCCAGATCTCCTGGCTGTGCCCTTTCCCCTGTCCCCCTGCACACAGGTTTATGAGGCACGTGTGCTCGGCGCGGTGCATTTGTGTTGCTAGGGAATACGCAGCCACGTGTGTGCGTGGACTGCACGAAGGGGCCACAGCGGGTGGACAGACACATGTGCATGTGCAGTGTCATGTGTCAGCGGGCGTGTGTCTCCTGGGTGTCGTGTCAGACGGGGGAGTGGAGGCACTGGACGGGCCGTGTGACTTCCCTCCGCCTCAGCGCTGCGGCGGGGTGGGGGCGGGGCGGCCGGCTCTGGGAGGAGGAGGGGAGAAACCCTGTGCCCGCCCACCCCCAGCCCCACACGGGGCCTCCCACCCTCCGACGTGGCAGCTTACAGGACAGCCCTTTCATCGGAAGGGCCCACACTCCACAGAGAAAATCAGAGATCGCAGAAATTGCGTTTCCCTGACTCATGCTTTGGGCTGCGAGCATATTCCTGGCTTCCGGACAGCATCTCAAAGCGCAGCCTGTGATAGCCCTGACCCTACTCTGAGGAAGAGGTTCCACCATGGACTGGTTAGCCGAGCCTTTCTTGGCCCGTTTTATCCCATGTGAAAAGGAGAAAGGGATTACACTTCCTTCCAATTAGCGTCCTATAATTAAGAGTGAGATACGGTTTAGGTGCCCAGGACGGCCAGCCATAGCAAAGTGACCCATAAACGCCATTTCTCAGTCTTTCCCTTTCCCTACCTTCCCTTGGACAAACCGATCTAGTTCAAATCCCTGTGCTGAATGCAGCTCCATGTATGCCCTTAAACACTCCACTGAGCCTCCCTGACCTCTGGGGCGCCTGGGTGGCTTAGTGGGTTAAACATTCAACTCTTGATCTCAGCTCAGGTCTTGATCTCAGGGTCGTGAGTTCAAGCTCCACACTGGGCTCCACGCTGGGTGTGGATCCTACTTAAAAAGAAAATAAAATGGTGACATTCTTACTTACTCTGAAAATATTAAATACGGGTATGCTGAGCACTTAAATGATATGTTAGTTTTTGTCCTAGGATTCTACAGGGCAAGGACTGCATGAATCTAGCCACTGGAGCCAAAGAAAGCTGTTTCTGTAATCTCTGGCAAAATGGGGTCTGCTGATCTGGCTGGGTCAATCAGAAGGTGGTTTGGGGGAAAGAGAGCTGGGGGTCCAGCACCTGGGTTCTGGCCCAGCTCTACCTCAGACCTGCTGTGTGACCTTGGGCAACTTTCCATCCCTCTCAGGCATGGGGTGGGGCCGAGGGCAGGAACAGCTCCTTCAGGAGCCAAGGCACTGGAGGAATCCAGACCTGAAATGCTGGAGAGTCTCTCTGCAATTCAGTCTTTCCTCCCTCCAGAAAGAGTGCTTTTTCCAGAATGTGCAGCCTGGAAGTGTGGGGGAAGGGCACAGCCGGGCCTGGGCTGGGCTCAGAGCTAAGAATAATGTGGCAAAGGCTCTTGACATTTTTTTGCTGATCTTGGAAATTTAAAGGAGCCATTGTCTTTCTTCAGGGAGGCGGTGCTTGGGGCCCCCCAGACTCAGGCAGCCGCTTCCCACCACAGGCGCTCTGAATGAGCTTACCCAGTTCCTCTTCTGAGCCTGCCCTGTGCTGGCTACTGGGGACTCCTAGAGAGAAGGCGGCCCGGGTCTCCAGAGACACTCAGTGAGACTATAGGATGATGACACAGAAATAATGCCATAGCGGAGGCTTCTGACCCAGTTTGGTCTTCAGACCTAGCCTTCTCCTC